CTGGTTCGTGGGATTGTTAGTGTGCGCCCCCCCGGCCCCGCATTTCTTTTCCATTTTTTTGGTTGTTTTTCCCCCCGGCCTGGTTTTATTTTTCCTTTTCCCCCCCCCCCCCCCCCCCCCCCTTTTTTTTTTTTTTTTTTTTTTTGTCAAGTATTATAGCTCTAACATTCGACCAGACTTCTTCACGCGGCCGCTCCGCGAAACCGCGCGCCCCGTGGCCTCGCCCGACGACGACGACGTGGTCGCCAACGCGTGCGAGTCGAAAGTGTACAACGTGGCGCGGGGCGCCCAGCTGCGCGACCGCTTCTGGATCAAGAGCCAGCCGTACTCGGTGCTCGACATGCTGGGGCACGACCCGCTGGCGGCGCAGTTCGACGGCGCGACCGTGTACCAGGCCTTCCTGTCCGCGCTGTCGTACCACCGCTGGCACGCGCCTGTCTCGGGCCGCATCGTGCGCGCCTTCGTCAGGGACGGCACCTACTTCAGCGAGCCGCTGTTCGAGGGGCCCGCGGGCGGGTACGCCGGGGGCGAGCACGGCTCGCGGGAGCCCGGGGATATCGACACGCGCGGAATTAGCGTCGCCCAGGGGTATCTTACGGCGCTGGCGACGCGTGCCGTTATTTTCATCCAGGCGGATAATCCTGTGATTGGGTTGATGGCTTTTGTAGGCGTGGGCATGGACGAGGTGAGCACGTGCGAGATCACGGTTGGTCAGGGACAGCATGTGCGGAAGGGAGACCAGCTTGGTATGTTCCACTTCGGCGGCTCGTCCCACTGTCTGCTATTCCGTGCTGGTGTGCCTATTGGTGGGTTCCCAAGCCCGGGGCGGGAGGAGAATGTACCCGTGCGAGGCCAAGTCGCCGTTGTCAAGCGAAAGTAAAAATCGAAATATTAGACCTGGTAATTAAGGCCTAGGGAACATGTGAGGATATTAAGAAACACTTCCATAGGACGAAAGAGTAGGTAATTATTATTAACTATGCTCTATTTCTAATAGGTCTCGGGGATCTCACCTTTCACTGGAAAGGAGGATTGGCATTCTTGTACAGCTGTTCGAAGTACGCCTCGAACCACGTACCCGCCTCGGGAGCAGGCTGCAGCGCATCCGACAGTCCGCAGTGGTAATCGTACCTTTTGGAGCTCTGGTCGCTTGTCCCATCACATTCGCCACCTGGCTTAACCCACACGAAGGCGTCTAGAAGATCGCTGCCCGTATTGGCTGACGGGCGCTCACCAAAACCAGTTCCAATAGCGTTGCACCAGTGACCCCATTCTTGCTGCCCAGTAGGCTGCTTGCCGCTGCGACCAGTGTCTGTGATAAAGTGAGCGTCCCATCCGGCCTCCTTGAGTAGAGGAGCCATAGCGTTGACATAGCGAGACTCGTCGCAGTTGGCATTGCCCTGGGTGTACGATGGGCAAGTGCTGATCTTCCAAGCGTTGTAGTTAGCCACATTTGTAGCAAGACCACGCAGCGCCTTGGGAGATCCGGTGTCCTTGTATAGTTGAGCATACAACTTAGCGGCGGGTGTCAGGTTTGCAGGCCATCCTAGCCAACCAGCATGACCTGCATCCAAGTACATAGCGACGTTAGGCAAGTTAAGTTTCTCGATTGCGTATTTGGTGCATTCCATGTAGGCCTGCTGAGCATTGGAGCACTTTGCCACATTCAAGTTTGTGATCATGTTGGCCAATGAGTCAGGCTCTATTCACGCAGTTAGTATGGAGGCAAAACGAGATGACAGGTAGGTGCCAATAGACAAACCTATAACTAGAAGCAGTCGAACGTCGGAGTAAGTATTGGCTAGATCGGCAATGGCGTCGATATATGCCTTGTATTTCTCGACACCACCATCAGCAAGGGAATACTCGCCATTTGACGCCGCCGCCGCACAGTCACGCTCGGGTAAATCATAGACAACGAATATTCCAGCATTAGGGGGGTTAGCACCAGCCTTATTGGCCGCACGAATGTCAGCCAAAGTTTTCGCCATCAGATCAACTTTATCTCGGGTATCTCTATATTCCATGTTAGATGGTTCTACCGATGAGGCCATCAAGCTGGTCTTCACTTACATCCACATAAAGCTAGGCACTTTCGCAACGGCCGCTACGCCAGCTCCTAAAGTAGGAACTGCATATGCGGAAACTTCTGAAGCGTAGTATGAGTTTGTCCACATCTGGACATCAGCGAACGGGTTCCCTGACCATCCTGCTGTACCACTTCCAACAGGAGCAGAAGTGGTAGGAACTATTTTATAATAATTAGCAGTTAGCAAAACTTCTTCACTTCCAGGATCAAATTTTGGTCGAACAATAACGAACAAACAACTATAGAGAGCAGCCCAGGAAAGGGTTAAAGTTATGTTGACTAACCCTTAGTTGTGGTACTTGCAGTCGTAGTTGTTGGCTTTGTGGTCGTAGTCTTTACAGTGGAGGAAGTTGATGTAGAACGAGCGGTCGTAGTCTGCACAGTGGAGGAAGTTGATGTAGGACGAGTGGTCGTGCTAGTAGTTGTGGTAGCGGCAGGCAAGCATTGGTAGTAATAATCGTTTGACTTGTTGCACGTGCTTCCACTAACACAGCATGTAGGTCCTGTCCACCCTTGACCACCACATTGTCCCCTTATGAAGATGTTAGTTAACATGTTTATGAAAAGAAGTTTTTGAATTCATACCAAACTGAGGCACAAGCCGCTTGACGCTCTTCAACTACATTTTCGAAAGGAACCGCCAGAGCAACAGAGCTCAAAGCGGCAACAAGAAGCTTCTTTGAAGACATGTTGATTTGACTTGACTTATCCTTGAAGATGAAGTGACAAGTTGTGAGCGTGCTGTAGTAGAACAGCTCATCCACGAATCTGAGCAGTGACTCTTTATATCATAATTGAAGCTCCCTTAGACCTTGGATCTTTCGGATAGACGGGAACGCACACATCATGAGCTTGACCGCAGAATCCCCTCGGATCACCCCACAAAGAAGTGATCCTTTTTCGGGAGCCACTTGAACTTGGTCTAGCTACGGTGGAGTATATCACTGAGGCGGGAACGCGGTTCACAATTCCGTGTAATGGTCATACATAGCTTCAGCGCGAAAAGAAGTGGACTTTAAGTCAAATAATCATAGGTGACCCAATTTTGGGAAAGCACCAACATAGCTTCCATGGCGATTGGAGACGACGATATCTCTTATGATCATGGAATGCTAAAGACTATTAGTTTCTCTTCAAAGCAAACTCTGCCAATTGGAAGAGAGTATAGTTAGAAGTTCCACATAATAAAGTCTAAGATGTTGGAATAGATCTAGCCTCGTTCAGTAATAATCTCGGAGTGTGTATTTGGACAAGCCAGAATAGGCAACTCATAACTGGAGAGGGTCGGATTAAATGTGGTCGTCTTCCATAACTAACGTTGATAACCACCACTCTGCTCAAGTCTAGGCCTTGGGCGCCAGTGGGATAGACTAGGATAGACTTCGGAATCCAGAACCTATGCAGAGTTGAACCCGGTTGTGGGAATTCCATGTGATACCTGAGGCTGTATTTGAGAAGTTAGAGTGAAGCTAAGAAAAAGAAGTTGAGTGGGTTAGAGATACGTAGGTACAAGGTGGGTAGTATAACATAGGGAAAAGGTAGTGGATATATGGCATATGCACCTCAAAGATAGAACTCCAGCTAGACCCAAGGGCCCACAAAAAACATCCCATTCTAGGTACCTTAGGTAAGAACATTGAAACGTTTCTATTAGTTCAGTTAGGTTAGGTACATGTAGGCAGGTTCACCACGGCCCCGGGGCTTACCTGTAACACCCCTTTATCGTCTGTGGCTAGTGTACCTAATTTGATTGGTTCCAATGCGTTTAAACACGCTGATAACCAAACGCCATTGCTAATGTTCAACCCCGTCGCGGCGTCATTGTATTCCAGCTTCCAGCATTCCCAATTTCAACTTAATTAATTTAGTTTGAACAACTAATAAAAAAAACCGACAACTCGTCATACCCTCCCTTTTCCCCTTGCCGAGGGTTAAGTCGAGAGGTCGGCAAGATGCTTTCCGGCATCCTCATATTCAATCAGAAGGGTGAGAACCTCATCTTTCGCGCATTTCGGAACGACTGCCGCCCTCGTCTCGCCGATGTATTTCGAATCCAAGTCATATCCAATCCTCAAGTCCGCTCGCCTATCCTTACTCTTGGAAGCACCACCTTCAGCCACGTTAAGCATGAAAACATCTATTTAGTTGCTATCACCAAGAGCAATGCCAATGCTGCTCTGGTGTTCGAGTTCCTCTACCGGCTGATCCAGCTTGGTAGAGGCTACTTTGGCAAGTTCGACGAGGAGGCCGTCAAGAACAATTTCGTACTTGTTTACGAGCTGCTAGACGGTAAGCTCTTACTATATTCCTTGCTATCTCTATCCTATGTCATTCCTTTTTTTTAAAAAAAAATTTATCTAATCAATACCTTGTTTTTCTAGAGATCATCGACTTCGGATACCCTCAAAACACCGAGACAGACACCTTAAAGATGTACATCACCACCGAAGGTGTCAAGTCGGAACGCGCACCCGAAGATTCCGCCAAGATTACCATGCAAGCAACTGGCGCCCTATCGTGGAGGAAGGCCGATGTTAAGTACAGAAAGAATGAGGCTTTCGTCGACGTGATAGAGGATGTCAATCTTCTGATGTCAGCAACAGGCACTGTCCTTCGTGCCGATGTTACCGGCCAGATTATCATGCGCGCCTATCTCTCGGGAACCCCTGAGTGCAAGTTCGGACTCAACGACCGTCTCCTATTAGACCACGACGGCCTCCAATCGCTACCGAGCGGCAACAAACTTGGAACCAAAGCCACAAAAGCAGCCGCTGGAAGTGTTACCCTAGAAGATTGCCAATTCCATCAATGCGTAAAGCTAGGAAAGTTTGACGCCGACCGAATTATCTCCTTCATCCCTCCCGATGGAGAGTTCGAGCTTATGCGATATCGAGCGACCGAGAACGTCAATCTACCCTTCAAGGTGCACGCCATCGTTAATGAAGTTGGCAAGACCAAAGTAGAGTATAGCATTGGCGTTAAGGCGAATTTTGGAAGCAAGCTATTTGCTACCAACGTCGTTGTTCGTATTCCGACTCCGTTAAACACGGCTCGCATCACCGAGCGTTGCACTCAGGGGAAAGCTAAGTACGAGCCGAGCGAAAATAACATCGTCTGGAAGATAGGCCGTTTTACCGGTCAGAGTGAATTTGTCTTAAGTGCCGAGGCGGAGCTCACGAGCATGACGAACCAGAAGGCCTGGTCGCGTCCGCCTCTCAGCCTAAACTTCAGTCTTCTGATGTTCACTAGCTCGGGTCTCTTGGTGCGATACTTGAAGGTGTTTGAGAAGAGCAACTACTCAAGTGTGAAATGGGTCAGATACATGACAAGAGCAGGGTCCTACGAAATCCGGTAAGTCTTCCTTCGACTCTTCCCTTCTTCTCCTTGGTCCTCGACATAAATTTGCTAATCGTCATCGCAGGTTCTGATCGTGATGCGGCAGACGGAAAAAGTCGGTCCCCATATGCGCCAGAAAAATGCAATACGGCGTTTTTCGCTTTGCGGCGATATCCTATCTTAGATGCCAACGCAAACCGGTTACGGCCAATTTCTCCAACAAATACCCCGAAATATCAGCGAAGTTGGAGTATGCTGTACTCTCCTGTGGAAGGGACTTTTGTAGACACTGTCGATTCGAGGAATCGACACGAAGTCTTATACTAAATCCATTCACGAAGAATATCCCGACTGAGGATTAATAGCCACCGGAGATGTCAAAGCAGCAATCTTGCTAACTGTGTACTTGTAGCTCCGTAGCACGGCTAGGTAAACCTTGATCTATACCAGACTTATGGTAAAGGCGAGGGTAGGAGGGGTTTATGTAGAAGACTAGCAGAGGACTATAATCCCGCGGAATTGCAGTCATAATGAATGATACCAACCTAATTATACATGATCAAAGCCCGAGCAAGAGATATAATTCGACGCAGGTTGTCTCTTACTAAAATCTGACAAATACGGTTTATAAGAATAATTAGATTTATACTCCGTCATCGATGCCATGCATCATATAAAAGGGGATGGATGCCCGCGTATCAATGGAATATCAAACTCGAGCATATCAGATTGCAACTTCAAAGGCCATTAAACACTAAAAATCATGTCTTCCACGCCAGCAGCAACAGCAGACGATATTGCCCAGCACGGTTGGAGCGCTTTTCCAGTTGATGGAAATGCCATTCTCAAAGGAAAGCCTTATCTTCACAAACCTTCGCCCCTAACGGTGAAGGATATCCCTTTTCCCTCCGAGGATGCTATCGTATGGAAGATTCAAGAGTATGCCAAGAAGCATCTTATTGAACAAACCTACAATCATTCAATGCGCGTTTATCACTGGGGTAAGGCACTCATAATTAGCAATCACATGCGAAATCCCTTTTAAAGTTCAAATTAACCGAACGTCCAGGTTATTCCATCCTCAAGGACCAGTTCCCCGAGCAATTCGGCAAGCTATCGCTGTCGACCTGGGCGTTGACGTGCCTCCTCCACGACATAGGCACCACACACGAGAACTTGCGAACAACACTGCTGTCGTTCGAATTCTACGGGGGGATCCTAGCGCTGAACCTAACCAAGGACCTTGGTGCACCCCCGGCCCAGGCCGAAGCCGTAGCCGAGGCGATTATCCGCCACCAGGACCTAGGTGCGGTCGGCAAGATCACGTTCCTGGGCCAGCTGATCCAGCTGGCGACCATCTACGACAACATGGGCATCAACCCGCAGATCGTCGACCCGGTCACCAGGGACGACGTGAACAGGGCGTACCCGCGCAAGGGCTGGAGCGGCTGCTTCTCGAAGACGATTAGGGAGGAGATTGGGCTGAAGCCCTGGGCTCATACGACGCACCTCGGGGAGGAGGATTTCCCCGAGGGGGTGAAGAATAACGAGCTTATGAAGCCGTATGATGGTTGGGGTTTGTAGGATGAAGTATTTGGAGTGAGTACCCAGTGGGAATTTTTGCAATTGGAATACTCGTTTAGGGGTTGGGCAGTAGGTGGCTGTTGGAGAGGCGTGATGAGGAGGTGGTGTGATATGAGTAGCACATACCTTAGTTGCTATGGCAATGAACAGCAGAGATTATGATCCGTTTACCTGTTGGAAATAGTGAAGTAATTTCCCGTCCAGTGATCCAGCTATTATCATCTAGTAGTGTAAAGTGAACATTATAAAATAAGGTAGTCAAAGCTGATTCGTTTTTAAGACTGGTGGTCCTATACTGTATATGTATCTCGCAGCTACTTACCGTATAGGCACCCGCTGCCTATTATCTTAACGGTTATCTCTTCCAAGAATACTTCGTCAGAAACACTTTCCCGATCTGCACGACAGCGCCATCTGGCCGGTTTGTATTCTCTTGAAGTAGGTATAATAGTAAACCTCCTCAAGAAGTTAATAACAACTATCACGTAACATGAATCTTCAAATTCATGTCATCGTGTCTGTTAGAAATATTACTATGCATCATACTATACATCATCACGTATTATAGAGTAGTCAACCGGACCCACATCGAGACACCCTTTTCTCACTGAAAACCATCGGCTTCACCTGGGTAATTATTCTTAGAGCAGCTTTTATTTTTGAAGTTCAAAAATTTGATACAAAAGCAATATGGAGCTTTTTTTTTTAAAAAAAAAAAGAAGAAGAAGAAAGAAGAAGAAAGAAGAAGAAAGAAGAAGAAAGAAGAAAAAAGAAAAAAAAAAGAAAGGAATAAAAAACAGAACAATAAAAATAACTCGTGGTTATGGACTTACATTGTTTCATGCCATTTTGACCTTCTAGTTGGTTCTTTTGTTCACAACAAGCTCTATCATGTTGCCAAGCTTTAGAATGAGCCTCAGCTTCAAACTCAGTGGAGTACACCGATGATTTACCGCAACAACCTTCGTCTGGGGGTCAGCCTTATTACCTCATCAGGCAAGTGGGGGACGTGGGAAGAATGTCTGATTGCCTCCACGAGGGTGGATTATCGGTTGCCCTCGAACAAGGGCATAGAAGCTTCTACTAGACTTCATTGCCTTAGATACCCCTAGCTAGGTATGTACTCTGTTCTATAAGTGTATATACCTCTAGGTACCTAGGTGATAGTAGGTATGCTATGATGTTCATAATACATAGATGATTTCTTTCGATTTTGACTGCTTAAGTTACATGAGAATCTCGTACTGCTGGTATAATGTTGGAAGATTGATTGATGTGAATGTGGTAGGAACTTGAAATCAAATTCTGCACATGCTTGGGGGGTTGTCCGGTAGCTGCTAGGTACCTTAGCTACCCAGCTACCTTACCTACCTTAGGTAAGGTAAGGTCTAGGTAGGTAATCTTATCGGCCTGCAATCTTCAGGGTCCAAATGGCAAATGCCTTAGGTCCATATCTAGGTACAGGTACCTGGACAACCAGGCAGCTACGGCACAGTGCGGGCGAAATATGCTAGGCTGACTGGTCTTTCACCTTCCAGAAATTTGGAGAAGCTGCAGGCACCGACTGAAAAGAGATGGAAGGCTCGAGATGTTTAGGAACCCGGGCTGGCACGCAGGTGTCCTGGCTGGCGTAGATGCATTCGTCCAATCAGGGGCCCACAGTAGTTGCCCTGGAGAATGTCTTAGCCAATCAGAAAGCTAAACGCCGTTGGTTAGCACCAAGTTTGCCATAGAATTCAATAGAAACCATAGTGGGGCCGTGCACCGAAAGAAAAGAGCTCTGAAGAACATTTCTAGCAGCGGACTGCGGTTTCGTGAACAATACTTCTTTCCCTTTCCCTCCTCAACTTTCTTCTCAATTTTTTTTCTTTCCTCAGATCAATCCATTCTTCTTCCATCTTCATCTCTACAAGGAGAGACCGTTAGATTTTCTCTTGTGATACCCCTAAACCGCTCCCACTATCTCAATCAATCTCATCACCTTTTTGGTAAGTTCTCAAACCCCGCGCTGTCACTCGAAACATAACCCCCCACCTCTATATATCATCAGCCTCGTGCTTTGCCTACCAACTTGATACCGCTTCATACCACGTAAAATCTTGGTGCTTCCTATTTCTCAATTGCCTATCGAAAGAGTCATAGCAATAGAAACGTCTGTTTGGAGATTTATCCATTTTTTTTACTGAAAAAAATATCCATCAGACGCGCTGTGACACTTCGTACGAAACTCTTATTCACCCCGCCGTCATCATCCCCCCCATCATACCCCTCCCCTCCTCTTAACGCTCCATACCACTTCCCCATAATAAGAACCCTTGCCAATATCCCCATTTCTTTTTTCCTTCGACGCAAGCTGACCAACTCGTTCTAGACTCCTTATTTCCTACCAACCTCTCAAACAAGATGGCTGAGACTTTCGAGTTTCAGGCTGAGATTTCTCAGCTTCTGTCTCTCATCATCAACACAGTCTACTCCAACAAGGAGATCTTCTTACGAGAATTAATCTCAAACGCCTCCGATGCCCTCGACAAGATCCGCTATGAGGCCCTGTCGGACCCGAGCAAGCTCGACTCCAACAAGGATCTCCGCATCGACATCATCCCTGACAAGGAGAACAAGACGTTGACCATCCGTGATACCGGTATTGGTATGACGAAGGCTGTAAGTTACCTACTTAGCAAGTCTACGATTCCAAATAGCTGTTTACTAACTTCGGTTCTAGGACCTCGTCAACAACTTGGGTACTATTGCCCGATCAGGCACCAAGCAGTTTATGGAGGCCTTAACTGCCGGTGCTGACGTCTCCATGATCGGTCAATTCGGTGTCGGTTTCTACTCCGCATACCTTGTGGCTGACCGAGTCACCGTCGTCTCCAAGCACAACGATGACGAGCAGTACATCTGGGAGTCGTCGGCCGGCGGTACCTTCAGTGTCAAGCCTGACACCGAGGGTGAGCCCCTGGGCCGTGGTACTAAGCTGATCCTCCACTTGAAGGATGAGCAGACTGAGTACCTCAACGAGAGCAAGATCAAGGAGGTCATCAAGAAGCACTCCGAGTTCATCTCGTACCCCATCTACCTTCACGTCAAGAAGGAGGTTGAGAAGGAGGTCCCTGATGAGGAGGCTGAAGAGACCAAGGAGGTTGAAGAGGATGACGACAAGAAGCCCAAGATTGAGGAAGTCGATGATGAGGATGAGGAGAAAGAGAAGAAGAAGAAGGTCAAGAAGGTCAAGGAGATTACTGTTGAAGAGGAAGAACTCAACAAGCAGAAGCCTATCTGGACCCGAAACCCCCAGGACATCAGCCAGGAGGAGTATGCTGCCTTCTACAAGTCCCTGTCCAACGACTGGGAGGACCACTTGGCCGTCAAGCACTTCTCTGTTGAAGGTCAGCTTGAATTCCGAGCTATCTTGTTCGTGCCCAAGCGTGCTCCTTTCGATCTCTTCGAGACCAAGAAGACCAAGAACAACATCAAGTTGTATGTCCGTCGCGTCTTCATTACCGATGATGCCACTGATCTCATCCCCGAGTGGTTGAGTTTCATCAAGGGTGTTGTCGACTCTGAGGATCTTCCCCTGAACTTGTCTCGTGAGACCTTACAACAGAACAAGATCATGAAGGTCATCAAGAAGAACATTGTCAAGAAGGCACTCGAGCTGTTCACTGAGATTGCTGAGGATAAGGAGCAATTCGACAAGTTCTACAGCGCTTTCTCTAAGAACTTGAAGCTTGGCATTCACGAAGACTCGCAGAACCGACAGACTCTTGCCAAGCTTTTGCGCTTCCACTCCACCAAGTCTGGTGATGAGTTGACTTCTCTGTCCGACTATGTTACTCGCATGCCCCCTCACCAGAAGAACATCTACTACATCACCGGCGAATCGATCAAGGCTGTGTCCAAGTCTCCCTTCTTGGACGCTCTCAAGGAGAAGAACTTCGAGGTTCTCTTCCTCGTTGACCCGATTGATGAGTACGCCATGACTCAGCTAAAGGAGTTTGAAGGCAAGAAGTTGGTTGATATCACCAAGGACTTCGAGCTTGAGGAGACTGAGGAGGAGAAGAAGGCCCGTGAGGCTGAAGAGAAGGAGTACGAGGGCCTTGCTAAGGCCTTGAAGAACATTCTCGGCGACAAGGTTGAGAAGGTCGTCGTGTCTCACAAGCTGGTTGGTGCTCCTTGCGCCATTCGAACTGGTCAGTTTGGCTGGTCTGCCAACATGGAGCGTATCATGAAGGCTCAGGCTCTACGTGACACCTCTATGAGCAGCTACATGAGCTCCAAGAAGACTTTCGAGATCTCCCCCAAGTCTCCCATCATCAAGGAGCTCAAGAAGAAGGTGGAGACCGACGGCGAGAACGACAAGACTGTCAAGTCCATTGTTCAGCTCCTGTACGAGACCTCCCTGCTCGTCTCCGGCTTTACCATTGAGGAGCCTGCCGGCTTTGCGGAGCGCATCCACAAGCTGGTGTCCCTGGGCTTGAACCTCGATGATGAAGCTGAGGTCGAGGAGGCGCCAGCTACTGCTGACACTGCCGCCGCCGAGACCGGCGACAGCGCTATGGAAGAGGTTGACTAAATGCATTAAACGGCAGGAAAGGAAACGGGAATCGCAAAAGTTCTTCGGAGTTGGATGGTTTCGGGCTTCTATTTCCGGTGACGTTGTGTTTTAGGCATTTTTTTCTCACAATAATTTCACATGCCTCCGAGTCGCGGGGCCAAGATAATTTCTAGCAGGGTTTAGATATTGCTAGTTGGTTGTTGCATTCCGGATGCTTATGTACTTTATGCCCTTATGAAAGACAGTGGTCGGTTAATCCGTAGTTAGATGAAATGGATTATTCATGAAATTCAATACTTCAAGTTTACAATGTTCGAGATCAGCTGAGTGATAGACATGGTAGTATCATGGTATCGACTAACGTAGTAACACAGGTTCACTACTAGGTGGACACCTAGAATTATGATCTTAGGTCGTGATGCACACCAGAAAGAAAATGGGGTTGAAAGGAGAGGGGAAAAAAAAATCTTTTTCTAACCTTGATACGACGCGATCTAGTGAATCGAAGTTTCTGGCGTTATATTCCAGAACAAGCCTTAAGGTAACTAACTACCTAGGTAGGATTTAATAACCGTAAAACATACTATTAGATGCTAATATTCCTTTGGAGTTAAAACAACTGATTTCGCATACGGCCCAGTACGGGAATCATTTCAGGTTGAATTATTTTATTTCTATTTCTTCTTTTATATATTATAGTTTCTAGATAGACTATAAATACCTATGATAGATTCTCGGAGTCGGCTAGGTAGCCCTGCAACTTCCAAAGCTTCAGCTGAAGGTCGGTTGTTCGGCGCCCAGCGAGCATGAAAATGGAACCGTCGCTTAGGGCCCGGGCCTCCTCTCTGAGACGCTCAGCTCGCTCGGACCCCAGGAGCATGGGCATGTTGTGCACGGCGACGGATGTGACGTACGTCGTGCCCTGGATATCCGTCTTCTCGACGCCGAACGTGGCGAAGGGGCCGGGTCCGCGGCGAGTCCGACCCGACTGGGCGTCTTCGTGCGGCTCGCCGAACCAGAGGATGGCCCCGTTGTATTTGTACCGCACGTCGTCCCAGCCGTAGCATTTCACGATGTAGTACCTCTTATCGTTCGCGCATAGCCTCGAGAGGTACAAGAGGTCGTCCACGATCTTCTCCCGCATCATGTCCAAGATGACGCTGTCCATGTCCTTGCGCCAGACAACTCGGCCCGCGACGGACTTGTACCGCTGGCTGGCCCCCGCCATGCGCTTCGGGGCTGCCTCGAAACCTGTCCCTTTGGTGCCGAGGGCGGCGATAAGTTCCCGTCTTGCTAGACAGTAAATGCCGGGGCCTCGTAATCTACTTTCGTCTATCGAAGGAGCGGTAGCGGTAGCGTTTGCGGTAGCGGGGGCCGGTTGTTGAGGACCCTCCGGCGGCGCAGATTCTACATCTCTGTCCTTTTCCGCCTCTTCTAGCTTTGCCTCTTCTCGCTCCGCCGCATCCATCGATTCCGCTATACCCTCTGCCTCCGCCCCTTCCTCGGCAGGATCGTCGTCGGGTATCAGGCTGCGCGGAATGAACCAGGGGGCACCGGTTTCGGGGTGGGCGACGATGGTGAAGTCTTGGAGAAGAGCCCTGGGCACGCGCGTGCGCGTTATGGAACACAATCGCAGATTCGACGCCAGAGCTTTGGCTGTACAGCATAAGAACGTTAGCATTTGAGAGCGGCGATAATAGGTAAAGTGGGTAGGTAGATCGGTGCGCGGCCGCCATACCGAAGGGGTTGGCCCGGAGTTGGCGCTCGACCGAGTTCTGAGGCTTTCCGGGCTTCGCCTTGGGAACGTGGTGGCGGTTGACGGCTTCCCAGTAGGTAGGGTCCATGACGGGCGACAGCGGCAGGTCTCCGGCGACCGTTTCTACGGTCTTCGTCTCGGGACGGATTTTGAAGACATCCTCGCGATCGCTTGCAAGTTGCCGCCCACGGCCGTACTGCTGCTGCTGCTGCTGCTGCTGCCGCTGAGCTCGATCGTCAGCGAAGTGCCGACGACCGAACCGCGGGGCAATTATCGTCGTTGTAAATTGGCTGGGTCTGGCACTGGCATTAGCACCGTGCTGCCGCAGTGCTTTACATAGTCTCATAACATTGGCCGTGGCGGAGGAAACGGAGTGTGAAGGGTGTAGGTCGGGGAAGGTTTTCTTTTTTCTTTTTTCTTTTTTCTCTCTAAAAAAGTGAAGAATTAAGCTTAAGAATAAATCGATGTTAGTGAATACCTAGCATATGCAAAAGTATGCAGATGTACAAAGATGTCATGCCTGTGCAAACTTTAAAATTGAGCTTATCAGCTTATCGACCTAGATCCTAAGGCCCATTAAGTAATCGTATACATATTATATAGAAGTACCTAAAGTCCGCGGGGCGCCATAGCTCCAATTGACGATTCCGAGCCTCTCATAAAAAAAAAAGCTGTGCTTCCGATAATCAAATTCTTAAGACAAGACATATTAAAAAAAGTTTATTTCAACGGCAACTATCAAAAGCATCTAGGTACCTGGTCTTTTAATTCACAACATGAATTGCCAGCGGTTCCTTCGGCAGGCGGCGACGAGAACGACAGGGTTCGGCACTCGTCGCTTTTCACAATTCTTCCCTCCGAGTCCTGCCCAAGCTCCTCGAGGAGCTATTCCCTTACCGTATATCACAGAAGTTACTGTAAGAAAAGTCAATGGGAAATACATAAATTTGGGACCTAATAGCTGACTGAGCAGTCTGGCGGTTGGAGAACATGTTAGTAGACTTCGAGCTTTGTTAGTGTCGAAGCCGAGCTTTTACTGATGGAAATATCTTAGACGATATCTTCTCTAAGCTGTTACAAGTATGTACGATACGCCGTCTATCCCTCAACTGTTTGCTTTTCTCTTCTTCTCTTCTCACTTTTTTTTTTTCAAAAAAAAAGTTTACTGAACCGACAAGCTAGGAACGAATTATATGCCTAAACGGGGCTATAGATGACATGGTATCGGCTTCGGTAGTGGCCCAACTACTGTGGTTGGAGTCTGACAATCCAGATAAGCCAATTACCATGTACATTGACTCACCTGGCGGCTCTGTCACAGCCGGGTTATCTATTTACGATACCATGACTTATATCCGTTCACCGGTATCGACGGTGTGTCTAGGGCAGGCGGCTTCTATGGGCTCGTTGCTGCTTACGGGAGGTGAGAAGGGAAAAAGATTTGCCCTGCCGCACAGCAGCATCATGATCCACCAACCTTTAGGCGGCACACAGGGCCCCGCCAGCGACATTTTGATTTATGCAAACCAGATACAGCGCACGCGTCAACAGGTCAACGAAGTTTACCGTAAGCATCTAAATGCGGCGTTTGATCATGAGAAGTATAGTCTCAAAGATGTGGAGGATATGATGGAACGCGACAAGTACCTGACGGCTCAAGAAGCGAAAGACATGGGCATCGTGGACGAGATTCTCACGAGAAGAGATGAGAAAAAGGCCGAGAAAAAAGAGGATAATAACGGCACATGAGAAATATCCACTAAATTCAAGACCCGCCATGATTGATCAATAGATTACCTTAGGTACCTAAGGTAGATTATTTATTTTTTATTTATTTTCCACTGTTGTTGACGAGTCCATAGTACGAATCCGAGACCCCTCCGCTACCTACTAAGAAACACCGGGAAAAGATCGGAAATGGCATTTAGAGCGGACAAGTACGAAGTAGAAGTTAGAACTAGTTAACCTAAGGAAACTCCCCCTGGTTTCTTTCACATGCCGGCAATTCTGAACCGCTTGGGTATCGCCCTACGGAAGCAGTAGTGAAAACTGACCCTCACGATTACTACCTAACCTAACATAGTACGATAGGTTAGGTGCTTAGAGATTACTTACTTACTGTGTCAGCGGGTTCGCAGACATGGTGCCATATTCTCATACACCAATTACACATTTAAGTACTGTACTAACCATGCACCCAGGGAAATGAATGCACGTGCTAAACTCATCTAGACGTCCGGGATATGTGTACCCTGATCTTCGGAACGATAACTTCTAAGCCATGTGGCCCGCTTCCATACATACGACACTACGCAACCGCACCGCAGACGTACATAAACGCATGTGTACATTGATATCCCCCTGTGTCGTGCCCGTGTGTCGTGCGTACTTAGTACTACCTACCTAGGTAGGTACATATGTCCATGTGGTAATATCCAAGGGGGAGCTGACAGCCGCCGCCTTGCCTACAACACCGGGGAATGGATCTGTGATCATCTCCCTTTTATACAGGTATGTAAGGTGGCGCTTATGTAAATCGTTCGTACCAGTTGGCTGTTCGACGATAGGTTCAAATACGACCGGCAGTCTATTGATTAAGCTTATAGAAAGCGAGCGGGAGTGGCTTGAGAACTACACCTTATGGGCCCGCGATCCGCGGCAAATGAAGGATACAATTATGATCAGAAGTTAGTCAAGCCAGCGCTAAAGATGAGTGTGGCGGGTCTAAGTGGGGAGGGAATTAGAAATGATAGTCCTAACGGCCGAGTTGCTAACCAAAATGAAGTTGCTAAGAGGTAAGCAAGGGCCATAACAGGGCAAGGTGCTAGTTGAAATTATTTTACCCACGATACGCCCCGACACAGTCCCAACCCCGGCCCTTTGTCTTTTACTCAGTTCCACACTTGGTAGGGCATTCAGTACATTGTACAATAGGTAATAGGTATACGTACCTACATGCCGCTCAGTTTCATCCTGACTTATTCCTTACGCTTCTCCCCTCGTCTGAGACCCTTCCTTCTTCCCCTTTTTCCGTACGGCCTTGGTGGTATACGCTACCCATGGACATCGCCATGGCTGCCACCTTATCTCATTTCTATTGCCGGCAGACGTCGAAACGCGCTTAACGCCAAGGGTTTGAACCTTTAAGACGAATACGGTGTTCGAGGCAACGTCACTCCACCGACTTATACTCTAAGTAGCTGGCCGTCGGTATCTTCCCCCAAGTACACCACGCCAGTCCGGGACCACTTGACTGGGTACAGGATTATTACTACTACGCTATTGTACAATTACCTACGTCAATGCAATAGATCTTCTGATCTTCCACCAGCATCTCTGGACCTCCCAAAAGCATACAACCTACGCAACTTCGATGATTACTTAGTTATTAAATCTTCAAATGGTACCCACTCAATATCAACCCCCCCTTTAGCCCTATGTTGCCAACATGTAGGGCTGATAACCTTTCCATCGTGCTCTATACCTATTACCATCCACTTGGTAATCAGACCATTCCCATTCTTCTACTTTAACCACAAGAATATTATTTAGACTATTATGCGGGGATTCTTTTCTGTGAACTTAGGCAGCTCTTCTATGTCATTTTCCTTTCTAAATCATATCAGCAGCGTTACCCGCCCCTTGACCAAGTTTACCAATCTACCAAGAAACACGATCATTATTACAAGAGGCTGCGACAGCACAGACCAAAGATCTATCGAAACTACAATTTTTAAGCTATAAAAAAAGAGAGAGACCTGCCTTCGGTAGATCAATCTTGCTTACATTAAAGTCAAAATGCATGGCGACTTCACTTTCATGGTTAATAACTATGCCATCGATCCCAATGCCAGCATGATGCTTCCTTATCGCAGTTCTTCGACCCCGATCATGCAGACCCTTTCTCCAGAACTGTCTCCTCCTGCGAGCGATTCTAGCCCTTCTGATTCGAGCAGCGTCTCGAGGTATGACGTCGAGCCTATTAAGCCGACGGCAATGCCTATGCAGACTGTCTTTTCATCGCAGACCGGGGAAGCTCATCCTTCGCAGCAACATTCGGCCCAAGTGTGGGAATCCCACAAAGCCGAAATACGAAGATTGTACCTGGAAGAGAATAAGCCTCTGAAGGAAGTCATGGCAATAATGCGACAGAAGGGATTTCGAGCGACGTGAGCCATCAAACTGTGATCATTTCCTGTAGACTTGCGAGCTAACGACGCCTTGGCAGTGTCAGAATGTATAAATCACGCTTCGACAAGTGGGGGTTTAGTAAAAACAACAGCAAGAAAGACGTTATTGCGATGCTACAGGTCCAACGTCAACGAAGCGCCGTCGGAAAACGCACGGCTTTCCATCGGAACGGAAAGGAGGTGGCTATTGATGCGTACCTTAAAAGAAAAGGCATTTCTCAATACGATCTCGTGGAGCCCGGTATAACTGAAAACCTTCCCGAGAACTTACGATGCCTCACGCCACCTCCCGAAAGCCCCAAGGCCTTGCACTCCCCGGGCAATCTGTCTCTCCAGGAACTCGTCTTACAATGCGCGAGAGATTTGGCCTGGAATTGGTACTGCCCACCGGACACCCCGTTGGTCGCTTGCGCGGCTCACTATCGTGGGGACGAGTTGCGTTGTGCGATCACAGATATTACCAATGCGGATTGGCTTTTCTCTGTTGGGCAGTACGAAAGGGGCGGGGTGATGTGCGAGCAAGGATTCAGGTCTTTACACTTGGTATTCAAAAAGCCGTCGATATATGGATTGCTACATTTGTTAATCACCGTGCTTGATGCCACAAACAAAGGGGTTGTAAAGGAGATTTGGCGGTACCTCTCAGCATACGCGTCTGCCGTCCGACTCGACGGTCCTATGGCGAGACTCTTCCAAGGAATGTGGAAATACCTTAGCACGCATGACTACGAGGAGTTTTGGGAATTCATTTTTGAGTGTACCGAGAAGTTACTCGCGGTCGAAGAACAGCACTCTGGTCTCCCAGCCGATACATTACCAAGGCTTTATCCTATATTGTTCATTCCACGAGCATACCAATACCGGTCCCAACCCTACCGTCGTCTTCAAAGCCGCTGCGACTTCCAGCGGCTAGTTCAAGGACCCGTGCCAACGGCGATCGAGGAACTGACCGTTTTTCAGGCAACCGAATTGCTTATTCTAGGAAACCAGACACTTTGGCAAGGCGATCGCGTCTTCGAACTTGCTAACACGGTTCTCGAGAATACGAAGGGCATTGCGTACAATACCGAATTCTTTATTTACATTGCGCTAACTTCGCTGGCTCACTACCACAGAAATCAGTTTTTGCTGAAAGAAGATCCCATCGCCAAGGAATCAAACCATCAGTTGTCAGTGCACTACCTTGAACAGATTGTCTCGGTAATGGAGGGTCAATGGGATCCAGACATGGGATACCTTCTGGGCGAATTAGAGCGATTGGAACATTGGTATAGGGAAGCGGGTGACATCGCCAAAGCGGACGCCGCACATATTAGATGGCAAAATGCTCTGGAAGCGATACCGAAGGACTTTGTCAGAGGACAGAAAGGCATATTGCACTAGTATCTGGAACCTCCCTCCCCCTCTCTCCCCCTGAGATGATATTCTACTACCGAGTTGCAACGTTTTGAAAGCCTACGAGGGGAAATGAGTAGGTTAGGTACGCAACTACCTTGTATATGTGTGATTATATTTGTTCTTATGGGATTTGCTTTGGATAGCGTTGGTGTTAGGGATGGGCGACGAACTTCAAAGACGTTGTTAAGTCTCGATCTGAGTCTTGAGCGCCGTTGATGTCGTCTACTTGCTTAGAGTATATGTACTAGTATATGTTAGGTAGGAAATTCAAAAATAAAAGGGCTTGTATACATTTTACGTCGACTTGGATATAACATTCCTCTGGGTTCTATTTGAAGTAAGTTAACTCCAACATATCTTGAGGAATTGAGGGGCAATGAGCTGGACGAATCAGAATGGCTATATGCAGTGCAGTCTACGGATTGCGCCGATGCGCAATAACGCAGTTATGCATATGTAGGCCTCATTTGAGACGTATATATTATACCCCAACCCAATCTATTCACTCTTATTTTATGATTTTTTTTCTAACAATTTTAACCTCTTTCCTGCTTTGGTACATGGGTACCTAGCATTTGTCGCTCCTTTTTCTCTCTTGTTTTGATATCAGGCTGTTGCTTTATTGTTTTCCAGGATCTTACGGAAACTCTCAACACGTTCAACAGCCTAGTCTAGTCTCATCTCATCTCAATTTTCGATAGCAACTAAATGTCAAAAGTGATGGGTATTTGGTATTGTTGTAACCGCGACCACGATCGCCATGGATAATCCAAGCGATCACGATTCGGACGGCTTCCCGTGTGAACACTTAGAAAGCCGTCCATGGTCTGAACATCCGCCACACCTGAACGCCATGAACTTCGGGACAAGCCCAAGCCAAGCGGAACAGACCTATATCGACAAAGAACAGCGCCGCCCCCTGTCTAACAATTCCTCGTCCATCTCTACCCCCCTCCGTACCCAACTCACCAAGGCAATGTGTAGAAGTCTTGACGGTAAATCAAGATCCTTTCTACCAAAAAATTATATCGATACCATCACGCCATGCTTGGTAAAGGAAGAGCTCGCTCTAGCTATGCCAACTCTCTTAGAATCCGTTCTGGACAAGTACACTGCTCAGATCTTGGGTTCCGTTGTGAACGATGCTACCGGTCAGGAGAGAAACCTTCGGCAATCGAACCTCGAATTAAAAGGATTCGAGGCTCGATTGCTGAAAACATTTACTATCCTGATTCTCATCGGCAAAGTTGAAACGGTCCCATCATTTATCGCCAGTGGGTTTGCGGATTCTTTACTTCCAATCGGCCACGCTCGCTCCCAACATGGAAACTCGTGGCGGTGCTTCGACAAGTGGACAATGTCCAGTATCAGAGACTTCATAGAGACTCAATGGGTGGTTCTATCCCCATTTCTCAGCTCCCCGACAACAGATGTCTCTCTATATAATTTCCCCAGGCAAATGATCCTCCCCCTTTTTGATGATAATTCTACTGCCCCGTCCTCCATCAAGCTTGGTGGCTATAGTGCGGTTCGAAAAGTTGGGATCCATCATCAGCATCATAGCTTTGGGGAGAACCAGGTATGCACCGGAAGCCAGCGAACAAATGCACAATATAGTACTAAATGCTTTTCTAGGAAAAACCATACTTCGCTCTGAAAAAACTGCGCTCTCCACATATTGAAGATTTTCAGCGCGAAGTAGCCGCTCTGAGGCCATTTGTAGCCTCACCACATCCTCACGTTGTCAAGCTTTTGGCAGCATTTCGACACGATACCTCCTTCTACCTGCTCTTCCCATGGGCCGAAGGGGGAAGCTTACACTCTTTTTGGAAAGACCACGCAAAACCAACACCCGACATTTCTCTTTCAAGATGGATATCAGAACAAAGTCTTGGAATTGCCACCGCCCTGAGTCAAATTCATCACGGACATCAACCCCGAGGAACAGATCCACACTTTTCAGGACGACATGGAGATATAAAGCCTCCAAACATCCTTCTGTTCTTGGAAAGAGCTCCCAATAAGAATTTCGTCTGGAAACTCAGCGATTTTGGTCTTGGTAGACAAAATCGTCACCCGGAAAAAAGAGACGACCGTCCTATCGGGTTCACGCCTACTTATAGGGCCCCGGAGCTTGATATAAAGGGGACAATCAACAGCGCCTACGATGTTTGGTCGCTTGGATGCGTTTTTCTCGAGCTTCTCACTTGGATGGCATGCGGATGGGAAGGGGTCAGATCTTTCGCCCTCTCTCGAGTGGACGCGGACCAAAAATCTAGTAAAGCGGAAGAAGTAGACGACGGTTTCTTTAGGATCATAAAAAGGCAAGGGGGTTCATTAGATGCACAGCTCAAAACCAGTGTTACTCTTGTAAGTCCTACGGCCACCTATACATTAGGATGTTTACTAACAGTCTAGTGGGTCAACAATCTCGCCGCGGACAAGACATTGAGCCCTCATGTTGCGGATTTCATGAACTTTACGCGCAATGACCTTCTTGATACAAACTGGGAAACAAGAGCTAGCATCTCACGAGTTGTCGAGAACCTCCAATGTCTCCGGCAGCGATGCCTAGAGGATCCAACATACACAGTGGCCATTCCACGGCCCCGGAAACCACCGTGGTCACCCCGAAAGCTCATAAGCCTTCACCAAAGCAACTCTTCAATATTGAAAAGTCAGACTCTACCAACCAACCTCAATATGAATCAATTACCAAGTTCCAACGGACCGAATTCCCCGGATTCAATGACAGTGCCCAGTCAGGCTAGTTATTGGAAGGATTTCGATAAACAGTCTTACGACACCAATGATACTGAAATTTTCAATTATGCCCTTGCAAACATGACATCTATGGAGGGTGTGCTGGGTAATCACCAACTGGGCGCACAACCCCATCAACAAACCCGCTCCAAGAGACGGGTATCTCCCGAGAAGAGCATTCTTGGGAATCAGACAAGTCGGAGACGAACAATCGACAACGCGACCGGCTACAGTAAAACAAGTGATGAGCCGAGGAGGAAAAAGGTGCGTAAGAAAGGGGATACAACGACCAAAAATGTTCCCAAGGACAAATCGCCCCAGACTCCGGAGCGAGGTACATTCCAAAAAATCAATTGTGAAGTCGCAGGATCTTCGGAACCTGCGCCAGAGAAGCTATTTGCCTGCCCTTTCTACAAACACAATCCGGAAAGGTATAACACGAAGGCCTGGAAAGCATGTGCCGTACCCGAAGGCCGAACGATATCTAGGTTGAAGTCAGTTGTGGCACTCTACAATTCGCTAATTTCACACTGCACCAGCGGCTAACATATAAATATAGAGAGCATATATACCGTAAACACTTTTCTGATCGCCACCGCTGCAACCGTTGTTCCGTCGAGTTCAACTGTATATCCGACCTCCAGCAACACTGTCGTTCGGAGGTACGCTGCCCAATACAAGATTCACACGTCGATATCGACACCATCGACAACGCGCAGAAACACGAAATGCAGAAGAAGCAGCGTGGGATATCGGAGGAAGAAAAGTGGGAAAATATATACAGGATCATCTTCAGACTGGATCCGACCTGTGAGGTCCCATCACCGTGTAAGTGATCGAAAAAATAAGAATAAAAAATCATTAGGTTCCTCTCTACCTACCTAGAGGTACAGTACCTAGCCAGCTGGCCTGTGATACTAATATACCTTCCCTGCCTCCCATACAGACTGCGACGCACTCGAAGCCAAATCTAGCGCGGGAGGGGACGACCACAACGACTACGGCACCGTCGCCGAGTTCAAGACCTACCTCCATCAGCGCCTAGCCGATGGCGGCGGCCAAGACGCGTCGCAGATCACCACCGCGCTCGCCCTCGTCACGCGCTTCCAGCACGAACGCGCGCAGGACCCCTCCGTCGCGACCACGCTGTCCGAGACCATCCCGCCGCTGACCTTCGACTGCGACCCCGCCCGCGCGTCCGCATCGCGGGACGGGTATCCCACGTCCACCACCCTGGCGACCGCGGACGACAGCCTGCCGTCGGCCGATTTCGACAAGGTCTTCGCGTCGGATGTACTACCTTATAGTTTCTTAGGGACCTTCCAGGTGGAAGAGGAGGACGGGACGCTACCGGGAGGATAGATTAGATAGATAGGGTGAGAGGAAAGCCGCATGTTTTTTGTCTTTCTCTCTGTCTGTCTCTCTTTTTTCCCTTCGGATTTAATCTCCCTTTTTGGTGTGTCAAGATACCCGTTATAGCTGTGTGTGTGTACTGTTGTTTGCGCACGACAGTGGATGGATGGATGGGGGAAAAAGTTACGGGTTTACGTTAAAGGATTGACTTTTGTTTTTTTTTTGGGGGGGGGGGGGGGGGGGGGGTTACCAATGGGAAAAAAATTACAGTATTTTTACAGGTTTTGATAACCTATTTTTTAATTAAAAAATTTTAAATTTTTTTTTATTAGTTTTTATAAAAAAAACGGGT